CAGCTCGGATGGGCTCATCGGGCTGGTGGTTTTGGTTTTCCACAAGTTCCCTCCCAGCCCCACTGAATGATGGCCAGAAGCCGCAAAGTCATCGCCACTGTGAGACAGGATGAGGTTGAAAGGGCTCGGTCCAGGACCCCACCGAACCTTGTTGCCTGCGCATCACACAATGAAGTGGGTAGATACAAACCATTTCAAGACCCAGCCTAGGGTGATGTCGATGTTGTCCTTGCTCTTTCCTGGTCTTTTCAAATCCAAGCATGGCAGCTTCAATTCAGCCAATTCGTTGTCACGTTTCAAGAAACACGATTCACGATCCTGTTCCCGTCGTTGGCTCAAAGAAGCGGAAGATCGCCTGAGAAATCGACCAACCGAAGTCAAAGAACACAAGTCGACGAACCGTCCAGGCCTCAGGGTTTCGGAAAATGTCCTTCGGACCCACGAAGCCCCGCATGGCCTGACACCGCAGAATATGGAGAAATGCCTCTTTCTTGGCCATTCTGATTCTAATTCATCATGCGCTAAAGCAACGTAGGCAACTAACTAATGCGCCATAACAATACGATGATATAACACGCCTCATCGTCCCAAATGAATGGAAATTACATGCACAACTTATCTCAAAATCAAATGATCTCCATCTCTGTCTTTCCCGCCCTCAGAAACGTCCATCCTCACGGACGTCTCGCGGACGTCTCTGAGCTCTGGACCCGTCGCACGGAGAGCACGGCCGCCTCGGTGGAGATGGCCGCAGAGGCGCCCTTCGAGTCGCTGAGCTGTTTGCCTTGTTCGGCGAACGACATGGATGTAGCGATGCCAATTGTTCCTAGTAGCTTCTTAGTAGTAGGGCCAGGGGCCTATAGTAGCTTCTTGCTCCTAGTAGTAGGGCCAGGAGCCCCTAGCAGCTTCTTGCTTGTAGTAGCGAGGCCAGGAGCCCCTAGTAGCGTTCTTGCTCGTAGTAGCGAGGCCAGGAGCCCCTAGTAGCTTCTTGCTCCTAGTAGTAGGGCCAGGAGCCCCTAGTAGCGTCCTTGCTCGTAGTAGCAAGGCCAGGAGCCCCTAGTAGCTTCTTGCTCCTAGTAGCAGGGCCAGGAGCCTATAGTAGCTTCTTGCTCGTAGTAGCAAGGCCAGGAGCCCCTAGTAGCTTCTTGCTCCTAGCAGTAGGGCCAGGAGCCTATAGTAGCTTCTTGCTCATGGTAGTAGGGCCAGGAGCCCCTAGTAGCTTCTTGCT